GCCATTGCCAGTAGGTTGGAGGCCATCGCTAGTACGTTGGAGGCCATCGCTAGTAGGTTGGAGGCCATCGCTCTTAGGTTGGAGGCCATCGCTAGCAAGTTGGAGGAAATCGTTAGTTGGGAAAGAAAAAAGGATTTGTTGACTTGAGATGAAGACCCCTTGCACTAAGTGAGGGAAGAAACCGCAAAAAGGCCAAAAATAAGCCTCTTTATAGTTGCAAAAAGCAAAATCGGCAACTGAAACTGCTCAGAAGTCTCCTGCCACAGTACATCTTCAGAACTCGCATCCGTGCGCAATCATCTTCACGACTGTTTTAGAATGTAGTTATTGTTTTTGTTGCATGTTTAACAGTGAGACCTTTGCTTTTCTTGTTTTTCTTTCTTTCTACCCTTAAACCGTGTCGTTCCTTTTTTTTGTTGAAAAGAGCGTTGGAAGCTTCACTTTCGCTTCTGCCCCACAAAGATTGCTTTTGGGCGAGAATATTCTCAGGGAATGGACTTTCTGGATGCTTCTAGGAACAAGTGCATCGCTTCTAGTAACAAGTGCCTTACTAGTAGTAACAAGATGCTTCTAAGTTAACTTTAATTCGAATTACTTTTAATTCTTGTTACTACTAGTAAGGCACTTGTTACTAGAAGCGATGCACTTGTTTCTGCATGTTTTTCCCTGTTCAACAGTGATCTGTCTTTGCGTTGTTTCAGAAGTTTATGTCTTCCCTTCTTCATTACTCTTGTTTCATAAACTGTCTGTCTTCCTTTCTTAGTACTTCTACTTCTACTAGTCTATAAGTTTATAAAGACACACGAACACGCTTTTCGGTAAATCCACAACGAAACATTGGACCCTGCCTTGAGGAGGGCACCTTGTGGCTTTCGTCAAAAGCTCGAAACGAAAAGGTTTTAGATTGTTCACCTACTTGCGATGGCCTCCACCTATTAGCGTCCTCTTCTTTGGAAAGCAACAAGAACGGACGAAAACGTGGCCTGGTTGTGTCTTCATGTGTCTTCATGTGCCGTCTTGTCTTCGTTTGCCCCTCGAACATGGAGCGACGAGATGCTTTTCTTACTGGAATGTAGTAGCTTCTTGTTACTACTAGTAAGGCACTTGTTACTAGTAGCGATGCACTTGTTTCTACTAGCTTCTTGTCTCTTCTTCAAAGAAGCCTTCTTGTTCCTAGTAAGTGGTGGCAAAGACGACGGCTTTAGTTCTTCTTCGGAGCGTAAAGTCCAAGGATGTCTTTTTTTTTCTAGGTCTAAACCAACAAGTTTCGATTGTTCCTAGTAGCTTCTTGTTACTAGTAGTAAGGCCAGGAGCTACTAGTAGCGTCCTTGCTACTAGTTGCGATGCTCTTTGCTCCTAGTAGTTTCTTGTTCCTAGTAGTAATGTCAGGAGCTACTAGTGGCGTCCTTGCCAAAAAAACTTCAAGAACCTGTACGATCCTAAACCTTGGTATTGACCACTGCGGAGGTGTTTCCATGGCAGAGTTGATGGCAACGTGTGAGTTGTCTACATTGTCAAAGCAAAACGGAGAATGAGATACTACTGTTACAGCAGTGGCAATGTCATTGAATTGAAACAAGACCTTGAAAAGGGTGTAGGCAAGGATCTACTTGTTGTACGAAGGAAAAAAGGGACAAGGTCAGGCATCTTCGCAAGGGTACAGTAGCAAGTTGGCAAGGGGGGGAACGAAATGTGAGGTCTAAGAGCCTAAGGGTCTTCTAAGTCCAGCGCTATTAGGAACAAGGAGGCTACTAGGGGCTCCTGGCATCACTACTAGGAGCAAGAACGCTACTAGGGGCTCCTGGCATC